TTTCTTGTTGATGATATTTTTTATGAACAAACAGCGGCGTATCAGACTAGTCCAAAGCAATTCGAAATGGTAATAAATATCTGGGAACTATTCCGGTCTGATTGCATGCAAATACGTTTGATTGGAAGTAAAACAGTAAAAGTGTGTAACGGTACACTGATATAGTTCCACTACAAAACTAACACAACATTTAGGATGTACAAATACGCTGAAAATTCCTATATGAACTTAAGTAAGTCCTAGAAATTCACAGAAATTTACCCGCGACAAAATTTAACCTCGCGGTGGACGCACTAACCTTGACCCCCATACTGGCCTGAGTCTCAAGTTCCGTGGACTGTCCTGTCCTGTCCTGAACTGAAGTCGTGAGTCATGTCCTGAAATCTAACCTGACATCATGCTTTCCGGAACCATTTAAAAGAAGGATCCTGTTTCCGACTGCAAGTGGTGAATTACGCAAGAAAAGATGAACTTTTTCGATGTTCATTTGTGATGTAGGTTGGGCTTACCCTTTGACTGTGTTTTTATTCTTGGCCTACAAAGCGGCGGTTTTATAAATTCGTTCTCTTTTATCGCATACGTTCCTTCAAGATTCTTCATGACTGCTCGCGTCGTTAAGTTTAAATACGGATCAGATATCAGACGACGTGTTATGGAAAGGCGAATAATAAACTTCGTGGAGCTCAATCGACTTGTTCATGAACTATACAAAGACCGAATTTCGGTCAATATGGATTTAAAATTTAAATACATTGATGGAGGTTGGCTTATCTTGACTTATAATTGTCTTAAAGACGGTGATATGGTCACGGTTACAAATGATACTGATTTGAGGTTGGCTCTGGAGTCGGTAGCGAATATAAAGTTTTTAGTTTACCGTAAGTTCGTTATTTATAAATGCTACCTAAATACCATTTATATTACTCCCCACAGCATCTTACTGTCATGAAGATTCAGACCCATGTGCTGCATTCAAGAAGAACTTTTCTTTATCACAGCTTGAGGCTGTGAGCATCGCCCAACAGTTGGTCGTTATGCGTGCTTTATTGCTCAAAATAATTGACCGAATCGCTAGTGAAAATAAAACGAGTGTGGCCGTTCCACCAAAACCCACTTTTGATGAGGTCAGCTCAAGAAAAGCATTAAACAGAGCATAATTTTGTTTGATTTATTTAACCTAAATAATAATGTTAACTGTTTTTATCAATAGGAAGGACTTGAAAATGTGAGGGTTATTGAATGCACGTGTAAATACCAGTAATTTACGGTAAATGAAGCAGTTGTTTTTCTATAATAAAATTGCAGTAAATAAGATAAAAGACTCAATATATAACGTTTATGTGCATACAGATTTCCATACGGGCTATAGTATAGCCCGTACCAAACAACCATCCCATCCAAATCCTACCAAAATTCGAGTCTAGCGATGATCCCGTTCGAAGGAGTTTACTACTACTAAAATGGTACTCTCTCCGATGCGATTCCATGAGACCATGATAAAATATTGATTCAAACATGTATACTGTGTTACCCGAAAACCTCTGAAAAGCAGTACCCAAATGCTTCTGTTACATAACCGATCCGAAACCCGCAAAACTCCTTTAAAACAGGAAGATATATATATGGCATATGCATGACATGCCATATATACTCTTTTGTATTAGCTCCTCTAAGGCTCAACTGATAATTACGATTTAATATAAATTTATAAAACATTGATTTTACCAAGACCTACATTATTTAGCGGAGGAAGTTTTATTGAAATTCATTTGATCGTTGCAGTTCTACAAATAGGTAATAATATAAGGGAAAAGTAAAAGCTAATCTGTGCAGTTCTGATATCGTTATTTGTTTAAAAATTCCACGTATGATGTAAGCGCTAGGTTATCGGTACCCCGAGCTAATACGTATAGGTCGCAAACGTACGTTCGGACAAGAAGAGAACGAGGCGATTCACGAGACGGAGGACGACGTGTATTGTAAAGACCTGCAGAGCAAGGGAGAGATACAGAAGCGTGAGCAAGCGTGCGGAAAGTGAAAGCAAACACGTGCTGACCGAAGAGGTGGCTTTGGTGTGATAAAACAATGAGATGCACAAGAGGAAAGGTACATTGAGAATGGGATGTGAATGTTCACTACAATAGCAGGCCAGCTTGAAGCTATGAAATCATACGGATATGTTGGATACATTATTATTTTTAAGTCTGTGTTGTCTATAAAAACGTTTGAACTTATTATATCAAAAATAAAATTTTCGTACTTTAAGGAAAAGTACAATGGAGGAACGGAAAGCATAGGTGCAGCACGAAAACGAATCACAGGCTTAAATGATGAAACAGTATTTTTTAAATTAATTTATTGAGAAAACGTTTCAAAGAATATTTTTATTAACTCAAAGGAACTCGAATAAGATTCAGGTTGGTCGGCTTTTAACAGGAAAGTCCTTACCTGTTATTCTGGTTAAGAGCAATACATTCAGAAATTTTCGCGTCTGCTCTTCTATCATCAAACACTATATCAAGATGCGTGACTTCAACGACCTAAAGCCAAAAGACAATAGTAAAACTGTGCAAAAGTTTAGCTGAAAGCTCTAGAAATCGGCGTTAGATAATGTAAGAGCGTACTGTATCTATCAGTTGACACAAGGTTAAGGTTCTTCCGAATACAAAAAGAAACAAGAGCACCAGGGAAGCAAGGGGATACGTCAGATTGCACTATTGTATTCTCCAACTTTGGTTTCACCAATTCTGTGACATGAAGAAAACATCAACACTTTCCTGCGGCAGCAATTGGTCCAAATCCATTCCTATCGTATCTATGGGAACTGACAGCAAAAGCTAGATTTTAACCGCGATGAATATTGCGGGGAAGTATAAACATCAATTTATTTTCGGTGAACAGTCTTATAAACATTCCGTTACTAGAAGCGAAATTTAAACAAAGGGCCTCTTCTGCATCATCTTTGGTTTTGGAACAAACAATTCACTTTTGAGTTTTTCCCAGTAAGTTTTATTCAGAGTATTAGCATTACCATCCAAGGATTCTTCATTGGTTTGCTTTAGGATAACTAAAAATATTTTGGATTTTGATAGGCTATAAAGACCTTGATAAACAAACCTTATCGTGATGAGTGATTCAACAGCAGTATTTAATTTTCATCCACTGCCATTTATTTAATCAAGCAGATATCTGCAAGCATAACATCTGGCACTGTGCTTATGGAAGTGAATTCTGTCAGGGAACACGAGCAGACGCATTCAACAGAGTGGATTCCGTTGGTTTCGTTAGCGGAGCAGTCTGCGATTCTTCCAGTCAAATCTGGTTTAACTGACTTTTCAAGTTATCACTCAGCCACCGCGGTACCGGGATCAACCACGTATGCAGTAAGCAATTATTCGTACCTTGCACTTACAATATACAATATACAATAGCTTTTAGGAATTGTTTGACCCCAGGGAAAATCTAACTTCAGATGTTTAAAAACGCTTATCATGTCGCGTTATCTACAAGTACAGACGTACTGTAAATGTTTTGTTTGTTTGATTATATACAGTTAATAATGATATAGTTACTCTGATTAACCCCTTGTGTGATGCGCGAATGGTAGAACTCAGCACACTGTATACGTAACGTGCTCATTCTCATAGGTCATAAGATCGTTATCATATCTGCAATAAGTATACAATGATAATAATGATTTGGCTATCAGTAATCATCAAGTTCAGCACAGCTCGTAAGAAAGCGAAGATGTTTAAAATTCATCAGGATTTGAACCAGTTTTCTTTTCCTGAGGACAATAAGCATAAACTTTCGTGCAGTCTTCAATTGCTGAACGTTCACCTTCTGGGTGCACTAAGCGTTTCTTTCTTTTGTTGTTGTATTTTAGCTGTTTACTTAGATGACGATTTAGGTAAAATAAATAAAAATAGCAAGAAAAGGTGTGAAAAAGAAATAGAGCCAACAATCAAGAACTACGTTTTAACTCACTCGGCTTTATCTACAACTTTGATCAGTCAAGAATTTAGGATATATAAACGATGTTCTCATGCTGTAAATATTAGTTTCAGTCAGTTGATTTTCAAAATTCTTATTGGTAAGACCAAGTATATAATGCCTCATTTAAACAGTAATTTACCGACATAATGAATTACCTCTGGGGTTCGTAACATTCTGTTTCTGATTAAACCGAATACCATACTCAAATTTGGCCACGAATTTTTAACACGAAAATGAGTAGGCGAAATCAAGACACAATATGTATGTTTGAGATACCCGAGATTTGTATAGATTTACTAACCTGTGGTACCCGGTACAGTTTCTGTACTATAATAAAAAGTTTAGACCCCTTGCCTAATTTCCTGTTAAGTTATCGGATTTACAAATGCAGTAAAATATTTTAAAAACTGCTTTTCTACTCCATTGAACTGTAAACATATTACTGCAGGGGGTGGATTATATCGGTTTTAAACTTCCGAATTTTTANACAGTTTTTCTCTAAAAATTACTTCCGTTTTCCTTTCTGTATACCATGCCTCAGAGATACGGTAACCAACTTAATGTTGGTGAAGTGAAAAATCGTTGTCTCATAATACGATTTTGTTCATGCAATTGTAGGGAGAAAAATAATGAAAAACCTTGTTTTTATCAAAAAATGAGTTGCTGATGATTTAGCCAGCAGCAGATTAACAATAAAACTACAGCAGCTTTCATTTTAATGTGAACCTTGTGCACGACAAAAACATCCTTGTTAACTATTTTCTTCCAGTTTGTCCGATTTAGCGTTTTGGGCAGTTCTTGCATTTCACAAGCATTGATGATATCACCTCGGCTGGTGATGAAACGTTTGCAAACAAATTGCCAAGCTTGGTGAACAGGTGAAATGGAATCCATGTTCATTAATTCCCTTCACAGTGATATCAACTGAGCACAGCATAACGTTCGTAAGGACTTGGTTCAAGAAACTCGAAGGAGCGAATGATATAATGCTACGATTAATCAAGGTGATAGTAAAAAGTTACCAGCTACTACAAAAATCTACTTCACGTGTTTCCGTGTTCAAGTGAAGGGATGAGCGATTGATGTGACCGTGCACTGAATTAGTGTAGAAAGTATTACAAACTGAACGCCAAGAGCACTAAATATCTTTAGTTTTGCGTGCTCAGAAAACAAATGGTGAAAACGATAAGTCAGTAGTGAGAGAAATAGATTGCAGGGATCAAATCTAACCCTATTGTTCGTTGTTACAGCTGCACTATGTTTCTTTGATTATTGAGAAAAATTACATTGTGGTAGTTGAGGACACATTTATCTGGTTTCCGTATATTTTGGAACAGGATGACTTACCTTGACTGGTTTGATGTAGTTCACGAGACTGTTTATTTACCGGCATGCTTGGCAAATCTGGAAGCCTTTTGCCTTCAGCAACATTAGACACCTTGTTTATTCCGTTTCATTAATATCCACGATTGAAGGACCATGTAATTGTGTTTTTGAGTTGACTATCAGATGGTTTTGTATGAATTTACGAATTGTTGCGTCGCAGTTTATGCACCATGATGCGTTTAGCGACTTCAAAACTGAATGATTAAATGTGTGTTTGTACCAGTTTCATTATTGTCTCATGCTCACAATACACTGACTTAAAAACACAACTGTCAATCAAACTGCCTATATTTTTAATGTTCTCCCAATGAGTCCTACTTATCCTACCAAGTCATTTGTTTTAGAGCTTTACTTACCACAATTGCAACAATAATAGCATCGCACCAATTTTATGTTCAGTTGTCCTGATGAATAAGTTAGCGGATAGTAAACTTCAATATTCTCAAACAGGAGATTATCTAAAAATTATTGATTAAAGATTCTATAGTTTTTGTATCTTTTATACACAGATTCAAGTGATAACTGAGTATACTCAATGTGAAACCGTTTATTTGTAATCAGAAAATATCTATAAGATGAATTGTTGCAATAGTGGATCACTTGAAAACTTTTATATAGATCAGAATGTTTATTTAATTTTGATTTCCATACTCGTGGAAACAAATTGGTTTCGTATGATTTATTTTATCTGGAATAAGTTAGCACCATTCAGTTTGTTGTCTGGTGTAATGGCTGGTTGAGGTCTTCCTCTAAATTTCTCTCTAAGCAACAAAATGTGTCGGACTAAAAGAGTATATGCACCTTTTCGTACTTGTCGAGCTGCCGCCTCTTTGACTTTATTTCTAATTTATCGTAGGGAAAAGTTGCTGAACTGCTTTATAAATCTAAAGAACACCAAAAAGCACTCGAAAGATTGAATAATGCAACTCGCGTTTGGTCAGATTCTCCGGTGAATTTAGTGAAGCTTTTGTACGACAGGGAAGCATTCCCTAATCATCGATTGCTACGTTAGCTCTTAATAATAATTATAAATCAGAAATATAACACCGTTCGGTTGAATTTAGCAAAATTTTAAACAATTCAGTTAAGTTTGGTTACTCCTGAAAAGTGTTGTGATGTCTGATGGTTAGGATTAAAAATCCGTTTTAAAAATGGAGCCCAGATAAAAGGATTAATCGATGAATAATAATAATATTCACTGTTGCCCCTTAATTTCCAACACTCCACATTTATCTATATCTCTGTTTTAACTTTGTACACATTATCCTGGCAAAGTTTGTTTTATTGCTGATTATGATTATGACTATACTGATTTTGATGATGATGATGATGAGAGCTTATAAACCGCCTGTTTGCCTTGCGGGTCAGGCTTTGATTAGCCGAAGACTCCTGTTGTGGATTCCCCAAGAAAATTCACCTGCCACCTGCACAACCTGGCAGTATTCAGCCTATAAGTCAATTATGGAATGTTTTTCTCTCTTCGTGAAGACTATTGTAACATGAATTGTTGGGCACACAGTCTGGCCTCAGACAAGCTTGAATTATAAATAATATAATGACAATCTAATACGAAAATCAAAATTTAACAATCAGTTGTCACAATTTAATATTAATGAAACAAATTATTAGAACCGTGACTTTAATGTTACATTCACATTTTACATTCACATAAACAATCTTTTGTGCATGTCGATCGTCTACCTCTTAGCAATTTCTTCGTGAGACAACATAAATAGATAGAAGTAAAAAAATGCCCGTTTCACATTTGGCCATTACAATTCCAGATTTCTCACTGGTAGTTGTTACCTTGAGAACTTATCGACCATAGATTACACCTTCCTCAATTATGTTAAACATGATATTTTACTATTTTAATGACTAATAATAATAAAAAATGTGATTTGATGATAGTTGGTTCAAAAGTGAGAGAAATAGAGGATTCAATTTTATTTAATGATGAATTAGCGTAAATAATGCGTAAGCTGAGAAGCTAGGAAGCAATGGACACTTGTTTCAACCTGAAAGCATCGATCCAACCGGGAGTCAAACCCGAACCCTCACAGGTAGAGCGCAAGCATACTGCCCACGGGAACATCAGCTCCGGCTTCACAGGACGAATTCTTCACGTGATTCCAACATGTATTCGTCCATTGTCATATTAGAATATCGATTGCGGTTTATCATAGACGGCTTTGACTTAGAAAGATACAAAACTCCGTAGCACTGGTCGCTACAGGGAGTTGAAATTATCTCCAACGGAGAACCATAAGGATAGTTTTACCAAATCATTGTTTGTTTTTGCATTACCTTATCGGATACAGAAACGCAACAATCTAAAACGTGCCCCATGAGACTGATAAAGTGACCTCTATGCTTTGGGTTTATTTGGCTTTTCGAAACGATGTTACAACAGTCGGCCAAAAACACTGTCCAATAGCTTTATCCAGTTTTTGACTTGTCCACAGAGCCTACACTGAAAAGTCTTAATGAAACTCCTTTCGAAATCCGTTGCTCTGGGTCTCACAGTCCTTGATTCTTGAATGCTGTTTGAACTCACTGTTTTGAAAACAAGAATAGATTTTAAAGTAGCGCAGCAAGCTAATTATGTTCATCTTTTTCTGCTCCTTCTCGTTCGCATGAGATTAGACCATACCACCGGGGCTACTGGCCGAGGATACATATATCTATCCCGAATCACAGAATGAAATCAATCTAACCGGTACTCAACGTCCTCTCAGCCCCGAACCACCATTTGAACGTACCATTCAACCACCGTCAGAGCATACGGCCGATCTGACTCAGTTATTCACGTTACAATCGCAAAATATGGACCAACTTGCCACTAGTGATTCTATACGACCAAAACAAACGGAGCATTCCGGTTTGCTACACGTAAGTATGACATATTTTAAGGCACTTTGTGTCCAATACAACATTTTAAATACATTATCCTCTTACAGATTTATGCTTCAAGATGATTTGACTTTCCACTTTGTTATTGGTTTTCTATTTATTTCCTTCTCCTTCGTGAACTGCAACACTCATGCACTCCGAGTTCGGAAATAAAGTATGAAAATCTACTCACAAATTACCATTACAGAGGATTGTGGCCAGTCATCCTTCTCTCTCACCTGGGGAACTGTCCCTGTGGGTCCGAGCATCTCAAATAGCCTCTACTGAAGACGCCTACCTCCCTGCCTTCCCTCGGTGCTGTGTTTTTCCACTGAAGTTAGTGGATCAGAAGCTGACATTCGGGGTTGTAACCAGGTCGTTGAATCACCAGCAATTTATTTAGGAGAGTTGCTTAAAAGCCTGGATTCCCAACCAGCCAAACATGCATAAGATTCACAGGCCCACATTTTCCTGGCTGTGGTAGTGGTCACCGGTTTGATTGGGCTTCTAGGTGAATTTTGTACCTTGGGAGTTTTACCTCATCCAAAAGGCGTTTGATCCGATGAACTGGACTCCGGTTCGCAATGGGCTGCAGTTTTCACACACATACACAAAATTAAGCGAAGCATGCTGTACAGACGATAGATATATCGATGACATATTACGTTTTGTGAGCAGTAATGTCAAGCTATCCGGCTTGCTCAGGGTATTTAATTCCGCTCATTCCAATATGAAGTTAAATTTGAAAGAAGAGATCAATGACGGGATTGACTTTCTCAACAGCTGGGTAAGGCGTCGCACAACGATCGATTTAAAGAAAGCCGACCGAGAGCGGCCAGTCTCTCCATTTTCGAAGTGTTGTACCACTCAAACGAAAAAGAAATCTAGTTCAGTATTTTGTATTTAAGGCGGTAACAATATGCGCTGATGACAGCATAAATGATGTTTTCCTATAAAACGGTAATCCGGAACGTTGTTGTGGATAGCGTTTTACCAAATAATCGTCCAACTGATTGAATTTTGAACCCAGAGGAGCCAGTATACATCTCTCTCGCATTCAAAAGGGATATAATCGCCAAGCTGGTTAACCATAATCTAAGAACTGTGTTAGAGACAACATTCCATGCGGCAAAATTACATGTATTCACATCCAGCCCGATCATATGGTCACAACTGAAACACAAGATTCCGGCTGCTGTAGTCTCATTTAGTGTGTACCTGTTTACGTGTTCCAGGGGAACAAGGTTTATCGGCAGCACGAGCGGGCGCCTATCCACAAGAGTTCGGAAACATCATTCGCCCTGGTTGAACACTGATGTAATAAAAGCCGGTACCACTGCCATGGTTTCACACATCGTCGAGTCCGATCACACAGTGAGTGTGAACGAACCATTTCAACCTCTCTAACATATATGGAGTCGCCAATCTAAGCTTACTAAAAGTTATATCCTAGCCACCGCAAAGGAGGTTGAAATTTGTCTACATAATCCCACCTTGTTCGCCCCCCCAAAAACTTTGTGAAGTCACTCATCTCCCATGGCCTCCCATCTCTGCTCTTCATACTCCTCCAGGTGCAAGATTCGATGGTAAGATCAGCCATACTTTGTGAAACAACAACAACAACAACAACAACTTCCATTTGAATATCCATTTATTTATGATGTTTTATAAAATGTGGTGTATTACCCGATTGATGAGTCATTGAAAATAAACAAACTGTATTTTTATTCAACATAAATATAAAAACTGATTATTGCCGGTGTTGGGACACGATTTTATATGTGGCGTTGGGTGTGAAGAAACACGGTCTTATACCAGAAAGCATCTTCTTTTTTTCTCTATTATCCTTCTTCACCATTTGTTTTATCCTCGCTTCTGGCAGCTTGCTAAAGAGGATCCACCAATGCCACCAAACGTATCTGGATCTCCCGTACTGATTGCAAGCAAGCAAGCCGATTTCCCAGATGTAGGCACACATCCCGTTCTTCCAACGGATAAAGAGTCAGTTCCGCATTCTCAGTATGTACTCACAAATCAGCATTTGGTTGACAGGAACAAAAAACAAATGCCAGAAGTTGCTATTTCTTGGAACCCACAGTCCCTGGTAATTCACAATCACTGACGTGACATGAAAAATTAACTGCATCGTGTGCATTAAATTTCAATAAATTAATGATATTGTATATCGTTGCAATTTTGTATTTTTATGAATCGAGTCAATTCTATATACTTCACATCAACATATCATTGATGACGCGAAAATAATTATTTTGAGGTTGTTTAGTCAAGGATTATGATATGTTAGTCGTTGAAGATATTTTCGTTATATTTCTCCGTGATTTTGCATACTTGAAGAGCGGCAAACAGATTTTTCTTTCGTATGGGTTACACTTCTTGAGAGCTCAATAACAAACAACGATCTAAACTTCAAGCAAAAACTTCAAAAAATATAGCCGTTTACTTAAGTTACAGTCCGGTGAATATATAGCTTGATTGCATTGGGTTCAACTTCCAAACCGGAGGTTTCTCTGTTACAGTCTCAGTGGGCGCACTACAGACGAGTCCTAACTCGGTAAAAGTAGATTCCTAGTGCCAATTATCACTGATTAAGAACATATATTTCAGGGTTAACTAAAAGAGGCATTTCTAAAATTCCTTTCAAGGAAGGAATACGAAAAATGAGCTACAATTTTTCAAAAGCATTAATTTATCAATTAGCGTGAAGTATTGAGTGAAACGTAGCAGAGAGCTGAACTTGATGTAATAAACTGCAGTAAGTTCTGCAAACTTTTGTGCTAGCATTTTTCAATTTCAGTTCCAGTTTTTGCAATCATTAACCATGCACTTTTGTGCTCCGGTTTTGGTTGCTGTCTTTTGGCTGCTCATTAGGAAAGAAGAGTAGAATGAATATTAGAGTGTTGAGAGCGAATTCAAGCGGAAGATAGAGAATTCATATAGACTGGTGTTAAGAGAATAATGAGTAGATGCATGAGCACCATTGTTTGAGACACCCATATCAATCTGTGTTTCTGACCATCGGTGACCATGATCTTGGGGACCCCAGCCAAGGAGCCTAATGGGGCCCATGTTACCCCGTCTCTCGGTTAGGGTTTCATAACTGCATGCCAGGTCTTCGTTTGACAGCTCTTGACCTTTTTTCAACCACTATCAGCCCCAGAAACATCGCTCGCCGTGGTAACCTATTTGGTGACATGCGTAACAAAGGCCCCAACTATGGAAATCGACCACTTGCTCCAGCGGGCGACCACGATTACCTAAAACTCTACACCTAACCTCAGCATTTTCTTTAAAGCATTTATTTTCAAAGGAATATTCTGATTGTCAAACAACACAAAATGAAAAGAAAAACACGGATGAAAGTGATGGGTTGATAAAAATAAAGATAAAATTTTATTCTAAGATTTGAGTAATAGTCATTCACTATTTATCACATTTTGCAATGGAAGTACTCGATATGAGACAGAGAAGTTGGGTGAGAACGAACATTTTGAAGTTTTAGAAAGACATTCAAATGTCAAGAATGCAAGATTCTACCAATGTTTTTCGTAGTATCCTCAAACCCTTTATGCGCAACACTTGAATAAATCGTCACTTTTTGCTTAATGAGTTTTAGGAGACGCAAAAATGATTAATCACCTTCAACCTTCAACCGAAACATCTTATTTCAAGAGATCATGTAATGCAACACAAGAGATAAGTGATTCGTCATCTGTAGATAAAAACAAGGGATAAACTTCGCGCATTCGCGATGATCTTTTTTGTCTCTTGCATACGACACCTGTGGCACCGCCATGACATATGACTGTCCCTTAAGGGAAGGGTGTACATTGCGCAGTTTGTAGTGTTCTACCTTACGGTTGCGACACCTGGCCTCTCCGAGTGGGGGATACTAATAGACTTTCTGTATTTGACCACTGATGTCTCCAAAGGCCTTCTCGTGTCTGGTGGGAACATCGGGTGAGCATTTACGAGGTCCGTCGTCGTGTGTTAGGTGTGGATAGTCGTTATCCAACAGAAGTAATCGCTCTACACCACCTCCAATGGCTTGGTCACGTTTTGCGTGTGCCTGCCCACCGACTACCTTTCCGTGCTCTTTTTGCACGTGCCGGGCAACGCTGGAAGAAGCAGCACGGCGGTCAGACCATGACATGGCGTAGAGGTATGAAGAAGCTGGCTTCGGTTGGTACAACCCGCCTTCCAGGTTGGGGCCCAAGGGATGAGGACTGTCATTGGTTAGAGACGCTGAGAGATATGGCTCAGAATAGAATTCAGTGGCGCGAATGCTGTACGGTTTGCCTGTTGAACTCCCGTGCTCCGTAAAAACAACAAACAACAAAAAATTTCAAAAGGTGCGGTGAAATACACAAAAAGTTGCTATGAGATTTATTCGTAATCTTCTATTGTGACAATTAAGTCTCCCTCTACTCTGTATCCCAACCCCCCTGCGTTATTGTTACTGTTAATACTGTTGTGGCGTTGGCACCATGCTTGTTTAAAGCATGTGTTACACATATATATTTTTGGCACAATAACGTTGTCTGCATCACCGGAGGACGTGTGAATAGGGAGCTTTTTCAGAGCTAGTCCATTGTAGAATCAATGCTATGATTTGATGTGTTTTCTAAGTGGATTAGATGCTAGTAACCGCTAAAAAGGGTGGCTTGATATTCTTTA